GCCAGCCATAGCTACAGGTGAAATGTCTGTCTGAATGAATGAATGAATCTTTATTATCAAAGTATAATATGTATACAGTGAGATTGGCTGAGCCTCCCTCCGTGCCCCCCCACAAGTCACAATGACTACAACCCCACAAACTTATCCAGATTTATTGGCTAATTATCGCCCAGTCTCCAACCTGCGCTTTGTGGCGAAGGTTGTTGAGAGTGTGGTTGCACAGCAGTTTCCTCGGCACCTGGAGGAAACAGTCTATCTATACCCTCTCCAGTCGGGCTTCAGGCCGGGATACAGCACGGAAACGGCATTGGTCACGTTGGTGAATGATCTCTGGAGGGCCTGGGACAGGGGGCATTCCTCTGTCCTAGTTCTTTTGGACCTCTCAGCGGCTTTTGATACTGTGGACCACAGCATCATGGTGCGACGTCTGGGTGGGTTGGGAGTGGGAGGCACTGTGATGCGGTGGTTCTCCTCCTTCCTCACCGACCGTACGCAGTCTGTATTGGCAGGGGGACAGAGGTTGACCCCAAGGCCCCTAACTTGTGGGGTCCCACAGGGGTCAGTCCTCTCTCCGCTTCTGTTCAATATTTATGTGAAGCCGCTGGGGGAGATCATTCGTGGCTTTGGGGTGGATTTCCATCAGTACGCTGATGACACTCAGTTGTACATATCCACCCCGGGCCACCCCAATGATGCCCTTGACGTGATGACCCGATGTCTGGAGGCCATGAGGGTCTGGATGGGGAGGAACAGACTCAGGCNATCAGGTATGGGAGTGGTTACATCTCAGGAGGAGGGGAACATTTCCTTACTACCATATACGGTCTTTTTTGTGCCCTTTAGGAAATGAGGAAGTCACCTTAGGCATACGTGACCTAGCTGTTGGTCACGTAGGCTAGCTTTTGTTTGAGAAAGTACTTAGCAATAAGCATTGATACATTGTATAGAATATTGCAACATATGGGATGGTGATTAAGAAATACAATCATAGAATAGTATTTGTTTATTTGTTGGAGGTATGGTGGTGTTCAGTTCATATCTTGTCTTTGTTTAGCACTTCCTTCAGGTTTTCCCTACAACAACCACTCTCTTTTGTAGGTTGGGCTGAACAAAAAGGCCCCAAAGTCCTTCAAAGCCTCAGAGCCATCTTATGAGTTGTTGTGACTTGAACCTGAGGCTCCCTAGGCCTAGTCCAGCTTCCAACTGCTACACCACATTGACTCTCTTTTATCAATAAAGCGATAAAACATTTTTATGCACACAATAAAAAAGATTGGGAAGGCCAGCAGAAAAAAGAGATCAAATAACCAGGAGCAAACTCCCTATTGATTTATTACAATGGCTATATATTCATGTTGCTGAGAGGACTCCCGAACCCACCAAGCAAATGGTTTGCTTCTACTCCAGGTTGGCAGGTTGAAAGGTGGAATTTTCTAAAAGATGCTGGAAGGGTTAATTTTTTGTGCCTGAACACTGCATAATATGCAATATTCTATACATCAATCCCTCTCTTTTGTAGTCAACTTTAATGGATGACTAAGCAAAGCTGCAAGGGCTTTAGTGGCCAAGAGAGTCCCAGGAGGTGAAATGTATGATGCATCTGAGTAATGTATCTTTCACCTCGCAAAGCAGCTAGGAAAATGAATTCTAAAAATTGTATTAAGAGCTGGTGCTTGAAGGAGCAGAGGAGGAGAAGGCTAGCAGGGTTCATGTGTGTGTGTGTGCCACCTTTTGTATCTACATGTATTCGACAACTTGAATGGGGTGATTTAGTTAAACTGGAACAAGGACTCCCTAGTTATGCTTTGGCATCCCCTTAATGAGCCTGTTTTGCAGTCAAAATGATCTCATCTGAATATATTAAAGAAACACCAGGTAAAAAGATAGCAACCTATCATCAGCCATGCACTTTTTTTGGTATCAATAAAGTATTTGAAAAAGAAATGGCTGAATGAGAATGAAGGTCTAAGTGCACATTTTATTTCCATACAATGTCCAAAGAAAGCTTACAGGGAGAACATGAAGGCAATGGTATGTATCTTTAGTAATAGAGTCTTTCATTCCTTGTCATCCAAGGGAACAACAGCTTCTTTAAATTGGTTTTCTATTTCTCATCTACTTTAAGGTCTCTTTTGCAGTTGTTCTTAAAATTATGAATTATATGACTTTCAAAGTCTCTTTTTGCATCTTTTACTATTTTCTCACATGTCTTCAGTGCAATTTTTCCCCCCTTATTGTTTGGACAACACCGTCAAATTTTCCAGGAAATTTGCTTTCCTACAACTTTTTACATTATTTATTAATCTGATTTATGTCTTATCTTCTTCTTCTTGTGCCATATCCGTTATCGGACGTTGGCGATCCTGTTGGAGATCTTATTTTTATCAGCAGCTGCACGAAAAAGTGCTGCTGAGTTTTGTCCAAACCAAATCCTATGTCTTATAGGATTTATTATTCAAAGCTGATTATCAGCTCCTTCTATACTATACTTGTAAGCATAGCAGAAATAATAACAACAAATCTGGTTGACGTTCCTTCTATCTACCTCTTAGATTTTGCTAAACAAGTACTTAAAAATCCAGTGCCTAGTGCTCTATTGATCCAGAGTCCTGATAATGCAGCAGTCCCACTAATTTGGGATCCTCAGTGGAGGTACCGGGCAGGGACCTGTGGAGTACTGAGCACCAATTAGTACACTGTAATGAATGAAGCTCATGTGAGTCCAACCATTGAAAATATATGAACAGGATAACAGATCCCTAAAGGCCAGAATTGAATTTAGCAGTAGAGACATCTGAAGTGAGTGTATTATAACTCTTGTACATAAATAAATATAGTGCAATTATTCATGTCTTTCAAATTATTTGAAATGATAGGTCTTCTGATGGACTGATAGTACCAAACATTTTGA